CGCGGGCTCTTTACTAGTTTGAAATTATTTCCATATTTATTTGTATCGTTATGTATTCTAAAAATGTTTGGTATATATGATGTTTGAAATATGATAACATAAATATAAAAGTTAACAACCTAAACACTAAACTCAATTACATATAAATAAACAATAGTCTTGACTTGGTGAAATCCAAATTAAAATATTTGATTACAGAAACATAAACCGAACATATTAATAGACGTTAATGCATTAGAGGGGTAGCACGACTATCATTTCATTGGGTGTTTCTCATGTAGATATAGTCGGTATATGATGCATTATTCCCGTCCAGTACGTAGCTTTATATAAAATAAATTATCATTGTTCATAAATCATGATTGATTATACTGTCGTTATTGGTTGACCACGAGGTATACCGTAACTTTTCCATTTCCTACCATGTACAAAAATGGTTTTGTATATTAACAAAACCATTGTCCATACTCCATACCATTTTTTACTTCAAAGTTGAAGATATGGGGTGTACCCACTAAGTTACTCACGTGCACATCCTTCTTCCAAGCATCATCTATCTATATATAAGGGGTGAGTTCATCATGAAGTCATAAAAACCACTATAGTTTGGTATATGTTTTTTGGATCGGTAACATGCTCCATAAACTCCACACGTCTCTTTGCACCGTCATTGTTGTCTACTATGACAACGTTAGTACTATCTATATGTCGGCCAATCCAATTCAACAACCTTGATATTCAATCTGTAAGAGACGAAGTTGTCACCGTTCACATCCGAATTCTCCACATCCCTTCACACTATCCGTATGCCAACATTTTTACTAAAGGGTGTATACAATCTTCCATATTTACAGAGTTTAAGTGTTCATTGACCTCCTGCTCAAATTCGGGGTATAGGTTCGCTGTGTATTTGTACTTAAGCCCTAGCCCATGTATGGGATGGTATAGATTTATTGTGTTTTTATACTTAAGCCCTAGCCCATGTATTGTATCCTCTTGTGTTGGGAAATTTAGGGTTTGTGGTGGAGATCTGGATACCAACTTGGATCGTGATATCACTTTCCGAACTGATATTTCTACCCTATGCCTGGGTTACAAGAAATTAGCCTAGGATAATCCAAGTGGACACTTACGTTCTAGCGCACAGAAAACGTTAGCCAATATGCTAACGGTTCTGGAATGGTGATGAAAAAACAAGAGCTAAAGAACGTACCCCACTTCTGGAAAGGAAGAGTTGTTTATATTTAAACACGATTAGGGTTTCATTAGGGTTGGGTCGTCATTAGTTGATTCGAAGCAAGTAATAATATCCGGATTAGGTTACAAAACTAACGAGTTTCGTTAGTTTACCATAATACCCTCAAGAAATTGAGTTTCCATTATGTTCCACATGGCAAAATTCAGCGGGACCCAGCCAGGGGCTTGCCCCTTGGACCCTGCTAGGGGGCTGCCCCTAGACCCCGCCAAAGGGGCGCTGCCCCTTTGAAACCCCGGGACCCGGGGGCGCTGCCCCCGGACCCCCGACTAGTCGTCGAACCGGCTTCTGACTCGATCTTATACATGTGTGCACTCCGCACAACCCCGTACATATATTAGAGTACAAATCATGAAGCCCCTTAGCTCACATGTTAGTTCCAGTTACTTAAAATGACATGGTGACACTAAAATCACCAACATTCCTCCCCCATTTAGTGTAACCCTTGAACAACATAACCTTATCACAACAAAACCAAACTAGTACATAATGAAAATATCGAAACGATTGATTTTCACTTAGTATCATACAATTGCAAATACTCGAGAATTAGGGTGTTCTAAGAATTGAACCCATCAACCCATTTGAATACCAGAAAGTAAAATACATACTAGTTTATGAATTTCTAGCATAATACAACTTGACACGTTTTTAAAGTTGTGTGTCCCAATCCTTCTCATGATCGTATCAAGGTCAAGTCCACAACCTCTTGAATGCGGCTACACTCACAATCACGTAGGTAACTCCTTTCAATGTATCTGCACATACATTTATCAAAGGAATTATTAAGAAGTTCAACTTCAACCTGGCCTAACTTGCAGAACCGAACACATACCTGGGATGAATAAAACTTCATGTGTTCCAATCTAAAAGTATGAGCTTTCCACATTGCATTCAACTCCTAACATTATCTTGAGGGAATTGGGTGTCTCATCATTATAGAATTAAAATGGACTTTAATCCCATCTCGATTACAGACTGTGCACTAAGTCTCTTGTCAGACCTTTAGTCAGTGATCTGCCAAATTTTGTTGCGATTTCCCAAACTCAACCGAAATCACACCATTCATGATTAGTTCTCTAATCATACTATGTCTAACACCTAGGTGTCTAGACTTGCCATTATAACATGGCTATATGCCTTAGCCAAAGCGGCAGCACTATCACAAAGGATAGAAATAGGTGTTATCGGTTTAGACCACAAAGGAATCTCATAGACCAAATTCCTTAGCCACTCTGCTTCTTTACCAGCAGCTGATAACGCAACAAACTCAGATTCCATTGTCGAGTTTGTAATGCAAGATTGCTTCTTGGAAGCCCAAGAAATGGCACCTCCCCCAAGCAAGAATACCCAACCAGAAGTTGAGGAATGGTCCTCCATGTTGGTAATCCAACTTGCATCTGAATGACCTTCTAAAACCGAAGGACTCCCCAAGTAACTCAAACCATAATTCATGGTTCCCTTGAGATACTTAAACACTCTATTCACTGCTTGCCAATGTTGAGCACTAGGATTGCTAGTGTACCTGCTCAACTTACCCACAGCAAACGCAATATCAGGTCTGGTACTTGTCATGGCATACATCAAGCTACCAATAGCCTTAGAGTATTCCAACTTGACCTCTTTTGTTTCTACGAATATCTTGTGGT